GGAGAGTCAATTACAGCTACTCAATCTGCGTTAACTTTTAACGGCTTCTTTTATTTCTGCCTTTACACATTATACATACATTACCGGAACTTGATTGTATATAGAAAATGTTTATGATTGCCAAAATCATTTACAGCTTTTCTTACAGAATCACCATTTTTATTTGAAAAAGAAACTCTTTCTCCCCTCTTGTTTGTAATGTTTTAACTTTACGCCTACAATTTTCTGTGGCTGAATTTTTTATGGTTAGACTCTGAGTTCTGAATCAAACATTCCACCATTAGTGTAATAGTTTCAGAGAAAGAAAAGGTGTGTTGGCTGCTTTGTTTGTTTACCTCCCAGCTTTTTCTCCAAGGAGTTTGAGGTGGCATACATGGTTCTCCCCCTACTCATTTAATCCCTACAACAACCTTGTGCATTGTTGGGAGAAAAACATGGCGGCTCCCTTGGCCAGTCCGGGAATGTTCCTGAGTGAGAGACTCACTCAAAGACATGGCTGCCAAACTGCTTAGAGGAACAGCTCCACTGTGGCAACAAAAAGTTAAAGTGAATAAAGAAAAAGGGAAAACTGATGTCTAGTGGGATGCTGTTTGTTGACATGGCTGCTGCATGGTTTAAGTGAATTTTTACTAGTAACATCGCCGAAATGCCTAATTCTCTGGGTTGGAAAACAGTTTTGTCCAACTCATAATGCTCTCTGATATTTCACTGATTGAACATCATTGCATGTACTTTTGCAGGTTTTTCTTTTTCTTTTTAAGAACCGTCTTTAATTTAACTGCATGTATTTATTGCAAAAGAAGTTATTCTGCATTTGTCCTTCTTCCCTCTACCCTGCAAACTTGGCTTTGATTGCCAAGGTCCTAATTGCTCATTCTATTGCCCTACCTTCAAAATGCCTCCTTCACATCAAACGCGGTATCACATATTTCCATCCCTGGGCAGATAACATCCAGGCTAAATTGCTTGTCCTCAGGGAGAGTTTTGTTCATAGCACTCCACAGGGGGCAATGGAGAAAGTCTTGTGCTCATTAGCAAGGTACTAAAGCTTTTGATGTAAGGAGGATATTAAGCTTAAGAACCACAAAAGGTCTGTGCTTCCCAGAGAAGGAACCTGCTAGGATTGGTCGTGCCCAAGTTTCTATATTCTAACTAAATAAAAAATACGGGGAGTGGGGAAGGAAATCACTGGAATTGTAACAGGATTGTCAGATAGATTTTTATATTAAAAGGTATGTTCCACTGCATTGGGGGAATGCTCTGTGAAATCCTCTCTGCATTTCCCCTGAACACAATTTCATGTTGCTATCCTGAGGCCTGAAACCAGCACAGAAGCCTGCTCTCCAGTTTGGACTAACCAAGATCTGCTTGCTAATATGGAATTGTGACTTCTTTGACATAAGTAAAGCATGTGTTGGGGTTCTGCTCATCAGGTAGCATAAGCATAGGATTCCCTTGTAGACGACCTCAGCGCCTGGAGACAGGCAGTCAAGTCGTGTATGCATAGCAGCGACCAGAGAAGAAATGACCACTGGGAGGAGTGCAAAGAAAAGAAACGCTATGGTGCATCTGCAGCACCACATCTGCAGCCTTCATCTGTTGGGAAACTGTACGTGCAGCTACTCACACAGAGTCAATTAAGGTTTGGCAGACAGCCAGAAGGCAATCTGAAGGAGTAAGTCTGCCTGGTGATAACAGAGACATGGAGACAACTCCCTGATTGGTCAAGCTCTCTCAAGGGAGTGATAATTAATGGCCTACCAACTGGAATGTGTTAGTCCGTGAGTTCAGTGTTCAGAGTTCTGTGTGTCAGTGTAGGAGTTGTGAGTCGTGTCAGAGAGAGCTAGCTAAAGATCTGTGTTCTGTTCCTGTAAATAGTCCACTGTATATAATAAACACCTAACTACAGGTTCCTGGTTCCTGCTTCGTCTATCCTGTCTGCAGCCAAGTCGCCAATTGCTTCCGTGGATTCTGCGTGTACTCTGCTAGGTCTGGCTAAGATCCTGCAACTAGTCGGAAAGTTGCGAAACACCAAATAGGTTTTACCAATATCATCTGCTCCAGCTGCAACAAAACATGTCTCTCCCACAATGGTCTCTAGAGCCACAGCAGGCACTGCAACTGTCCAACAGCTTGACTTCACCTCCAAAGGCGCACTCTTCCATTATATCCCAAGATCGACAGACAGATGCCAGCCTATTTGAATATTAATATCATTCCTTCCATTTCTATACCACATTATATTTTTAAGGGGGGGATCTCAAAGTGATTTAAAACACAATAAAACAACCCAGAATAAAACATTGCAGAATAAAATCAAATCTGAAGTATACATTCAAAGCAAGCTAATTAACAGGAAACTAAAATATTATCTTAAGGATTTCATAATAAAACATCACAAAAGGGTGCCAGCTATAGAATGCACATTTAACACAGCAAAGTTAACAAGAAAATTGTCTTAAACATTTCAAAAGAAAACATTGCTAAAGGAAGTAAAATATAAAAAGCACATTTAAAACAGCATAATTAACAAGAGAATAAAATATCGTAAGCATAGAACATACCTGCTGCTGTTGTCGCCAGCCCTGCCAATGGTGGTTCATGGCAGGCAGCGGCTGTGGAAGCTCAGGCTCAATGACCTGGGTCTGCACTGAGAGAAGCCAAGATGGTCTCTGGCCTCCTCAGCAGCCTCAGCTTTTGTAGTCAGAGTCAATAAGGTTCCTGCCCTCCCAGGCCAGGTGGGAAAAGACCTGCAATGCCGGGAGCAGGACTTCCAGGACTCACAGCCAATATCGCCAATTCTCAAGTAAAAAAATGTATGATATCTCAAGTAATAACAATAAACGTGCAAATGGTGCAAGGATGGAACTTCTGAATACAGACCTTTTCTTATTCCCTATAATAAGGCTTTCATCCACTGCCTACTTACCTGGGAGTAAGCCCAACTCTACTCAGTTTCTGAGTAGACATGTAGAAGATTGCACTTTAATTTAGTAATTGCTCATTTCTGGCTCTCATTATCACATTTGATAATTGATGTTTAGAACCATGAACGTACACCTTTATTTTACAAGAAGACGGGGGCTTTATGACAACCATCCAGTCGGCAATAGCCCTACCTGGAAACTATATAAATGTTCCACATGGGCCATATTTTTACACCACCCTACACATACCTTTCCTTAAAACGGTTTTAACAACCTTTTAATGCATCTCATTTCATGGCTCAACTACTATTACAACTTAATTCAATTTAAATTAAATATAAATTAATTCTGTTTCAAATACCTTGCTAACAGAGTCTTATATAGTCTGGGAATAGTAGTGACTAACTAACTAATGGATTCGTCATCATGAACACTTCATCCCTCGCTCTTCCTTTCTCTCCAATTCTCCTGCCCGAGAAGTCCTACCAGCCATCATAGAATCATAGAATCATAGAGTTGGAAGAGACCACAAGGGCCATCGAGTCCAACCCCCTGCCAAGCAGGAAACACCATCAGAGCACTCCTGACATCAAGGGGTAGGAGCCTCTTGCTTCTCTTTCTGTTTCCTAAAAGAGGTCAGATATGATCCCACTCACTTTGTCAGGACAATGGCTTTTAATGAATTGGTGTCTGCAGTGTAGCCGAAACTTCAGGGCAATTAATTCACTAAGTAGACTGGAAAAGTGAGGGAGAAAAATCCAAATTTTGTCTTTTTATATTGTGATTTTTGTCCTGTGAACTGCCCTGAGACCTGTGGGTATAGGGTGGTATACAAATTTTAATGTTGTTGATGATGATGACGATGAGAGGAGGAGGAGGAGGAGGAGGAGAAGAAGAACTTGGTTGCTCTACATCCAAAACAACAGCTAGGGTGGCCATGTCCCTCTAGCTGGTATTCCCGCAGAGGTATTAAGAGTGGTCCTGTCCTTCAGCACTTTCCAAGGTGCCACTGTGATGAATAGATAAAGAACACTGACTAACCGAAAGTATGTTCCAGCTAAGGGAACTTGAATAAAGTGTTTGAGGCTCACAGGAGCTCACTTACAGTTTCTAGATAAGCAGAAAGTACAAGACGTGCATCTTCTCCAGCTTTTTACATAGTTGCTAGTGTCCAGCCAACCATAAAGAGAAAGCATGATGATATCAGAGGCATCTTATGAAAGATAGCTCATTCAGATAGTGACCATCCAAAAGCAGCATTTTCAGCCTTCTGCTATGCTGATTAAAAATATATGCAAGGAAATGAAACATCAGCATCTTCCCTCAAGGTGTGTAAGTTTGATGAAAGCCACCGGTGGCATGACTGCAAGTCGTCAAAAGCAGCTTTTGGCAGTGATTTCAAGCTTCTCCTACCTTACATTGTTACTTATGTAATTGGTACGCAGAAGAAGGACAGTGAGCAAAATACGAATATTTGTCTCCATTTTCAAACTTGACTGCTTATTCCTCCTCCCATCCCATGAGCCCAAGCAGGCCACTTAACTCACAGCATGGCTTGACCCAATTCACATCCACCTGTCTGTCTCCTGGTGTCATATGACATCAGACACAGGACACGTAAACCAGTGGAGCTAAACTGAAAGGGAAGAATTGGGAACATGTTCTAAGTGTGCTCCTGATTGCTCCTGTGCCAGTGTGGTGTAGTGGTTAAGAGCAGTGGACTCGTAATCTGGTGAACTGCATTCAGTTCCCCACTCCTTCACATGCAGCTGCTGGGTGACCTTGGGCCGGTCACAGTTCTCTGAAGTCTCTCAGCCCCACTCATCTCACAGAGTGTTTGTTGTGGGGGAGGAAGGGAAAGGAGAATGTTAGCTGCTTTGAGACTCCTTAAGGGGAGTGATAAAGCAGGATATCAAATCCAAACTCTTCTTCTTCTTCTTTCCAGCCTCTGGTAGAATTTGGTGCTTTTCAAATCTAACACCTTTTCCCATCACCCTGCTAATATTATTTGCTTCACAGGCGCAACTTGAATTCAAGTCACAATGGCAAGTGCACTCCAGGTGTGTTTGAGGAAGGAGTATAACTCAGTGGTAGAGCATCTGCTTCGCATGCAGAAGGTCCCAGTTCAAACCATGGCATTTCCAGGTAGGGCTTGAGAGAATCCTGCCTTAAATCCAGGAGACATTACTGAGCCTACGGAACTAGAAGGAGCAGTGGTCTGATTCAGCAAAAGGCAGCATCCTAGGCTCCTATGGGTTCTCAGTTCTTCCTGTCCAGCTGTACTTCAGCGCCTTGTAAATCTGGTGCCTTTTCTGTCACTACAGTCTTAAAACAATGCTTTGGATAAATACATATCCATGTTTTACACAATCCAATTTCCCTTTTGCCCCCTGTGTAATGATTTCCAGAATTATCTTGCATGTGAGGAATCAATGTCTGATTTTTCACATAAAATGGACTGAGTGTCAGCAAAAGAGGAACAAATATTTGTAGTCTGAGCATGTCAAGGTAGGGGGGGTTCATAAAAAAGGCAGCAATTATTATTATTATTATTATTATTATTATTATTATTATTTCTTCCTTAATGTGCAAATGTGACATCTCTCTATAAGCTCTTGAAACTCTCAACCCCCCACTTTTCTTGAAATATTCTTTTTCCTCCAAGCAAATGTGCCCAACCCCATTTTAGCTCAATATAATTTCAACAAGTAAAATGAAAAGCCAAGGCTGCTAGCTCTCTCTCTCTCTCTTTTCAGTTCTATTTGGTTGCAAATTTATTCTCGCTATCCATCAGAATGTTTTGTCTAGTGCTAAGCAGAGCTCAAGACAATGAATGTAGAACTCCTGTTATATTACACAAATTATCCTTCAAATGGAAATAAAGGCATTTTTTTCCTCACCAGAGAGAAAGAAACCTGTTCTAAAAATAATGTTCCAGAAAACATTTTGCTTTTCCTATGCTCTTCATTTTCTCTTTTATTAACAAACTATATAAGAATGCAAATGGAAGCCATACCCGGACGTGAGGCATCAAAATTGAATGATAATCAGACTTGGTTTCCTTCCTTTGACACTGATTAAACATTGAGCACAAATGAATGCAACAAAATCGCACAAGCAGGAGCATCTATTGGTGCAACCTGTCCCATTAGGACTTAATTCACTTTTTGATATTTCCCCCTCAAGAACACTGAAATGCTGCAATTTGTGGAACAGGATTCTTCTCTGGTGGTTTTCAAGGCCAAATCCCCTTTAAAGGTGAAAACGTTGTCGGACTTCCGGGTTAGCGCCATCGCCGAATGGCGGACTCCCTCCGAGCTCCGGAGGGAGTCTGCTCGGCAGGGGCTGGGTCCTACCGCGCCGGCGACGCGGGGACCCTTAAAAACCACGGGCACGGAGTCCGTGGACATGGGTGACTCGCCTTGCACCATAAGCGCCCTCCCGACTCGTGCACGACCCACTGAACGGCTTCGGATCGGGTGCCGGGGAGTGGCGTGGTGCTTTGAGTCCACTGCTTTCCCTGCCGAGCGCAGCCGCATGCCATTCGACGGAGAGCGCTGACTTCTTCTATTGAAAATTTGGACTTTTAACAACAACCCGTGAGTAATTGGGAAACCGGGTTCAAAATTTTGGATTTGGCACGAGCGGGGGCGATTTAAAAAGGAAGTCAATCCCCCCCCCTATTGTAAGCATTCCAAAACAAGGACTGGGTAACCAAGGTCCAAAGGGAAGTATGTCTCTGATAAAAATCATTAATTTCACGATGGGAAATTATAAGAAATGTGCTGGAGGAGAAGAGTGGAGGGTGAGAAGAAAAATGCAACCCCCCCCCTGGGAACCGGGGCGATTCGTGGAGCCTGGTGAAGAGAGACGGAGACTTTGACAGCTGTCAAAGTGGCTGTCAAAGCTGGAGAATATAAAGAGGACTTTATGAGGACCTTGCTGGTAAATTTTGCTACAATTTGCTATAATATGGATATAAACTGTTGGAAAATAAGCAACAATTTGACTTTTGGATTAGAGGATACAAAGTTATTACAATCCCCTAGAGGGGTGTCAGGATACTACAAGAACGGTCGTAAGTGGAAAAATACCCTGGGATTCGCACAGGATTTGTTATCTTCTGGGAAAGCTGCAAAACTGAAAGAGTATTTTGTCTACAGAGGAAGACAATGGAATTTTTATTGAAGAAAGAAAGGGACTGGACGTAAGTTTTTGTTCCTGAATAACAAACCTCTGCAGAGACACTAGATTTCTGAATTAGAAAGTTTTAGCAGCTGAACAGGACAAGAAACCTGAGAAAGTGAGGAATAAGAAGAATAAAGGACTGATTACGACACGGAAAGAACAACGGGAGGAGTGGTAAAGATCAAGGAAATTAAAGGCCTTTGTTAGATTGGACATTTGAAGTCAAATATTATTTAAATTAATAAACTAAAAGAAAACCGGCAAGATGGAATCGGGAGAAATCTGGTCATGAAATGAGATTTCCAAGCTGATAATGTATAGACTGATGGACATGGGGAATTCAAACCGGGGAAGGGGGGGGGGGAGATTTGAAATCCAAAGGCTGTGTAACCATTTTTTGAACTTTTCTATATCTTTTATTTTCTATTTCTTTACATAACTTACGCATGTTATTTTACTTTGATCGGACGTGTTTAAAAAAAAGGGAATTTGTGGAAGGAACTGGGGTGGATCTTGGGGAAAATCTTTTTCTTTTTCTGTTAATGATGTGGGACGGTGGTAAGATTTGTACAATTCAAATTGGATAGTGGGTTAAACAAATTAAGCTTTAAATTTGGGAGTGAGAGCTTGTAGAACCAAATTAAGGAATAAAGGTGAAAACGTTGTCATATATAAAATAGTTTGGTGAATCAGACAAAATAAGATTCTAATCTGGGTGTGATATCCAACTAAATCCAACCCAAGAAAAATAACGGACTTAAGTTTTCTTTTATTTCATTGGGTCTACTCTGAGCATAACTTACATTTGATGCATCTTTAAGGCTACAGTCCTATACTTGCTTATTTGGGAATAAGCTCCATTGAACCTAAAGGCCCTTATTTTTGTGTAGACTTTAAGTGGCATAAATCAGGAAAGCTCCAATCAAATTAATACATCCCCATTAATTGAAAGCAGCTAATTATCTCGCTCTCCTAGAACACGCATTGCTTACAACACAGCATTAATGAGGACAGTTGCTCATCCCCTTTGGAATGTAGCTTCTGATGTATAGGCCCCACTTCTTCCTATTGCTTTAATATTTAATAATTCCTAATTGTCCTGCTTCTTCATTAGCGATACTAAGGGGGAAATGGGGAAATAAAACCATCTCTTACATATTTGCCTGGATCCGGCAAACACAAACAAAACTCTTTGATATTATTAGCTTTCTAATAAGGAAGAATGGATATTACTCTAAATGGGTGGCTCTCTATCTCGCAAATTACCTCTGCTAAGTAATTTATTTTTACTACTGCAGGATGCCCAGACATAATGAGCACTTCTTCTTCTTCTTCTTCTTCTTCTTCTTCTTCTTCTTCTTTTTTGCTTTGTTACTCCAGCTTATTGTGCAGCTTGCCTATCAGTGAAAGAGGAGCTGCTTTTGTTGCCTATATTATTATCTATTCATATTCATATTCATAACCCATGGTATGATCACAAAATATTTCTCTTTACAAATGCAGGCACATTCTGATCTTAGATTCCATCAAGGCCTGTTTTTGTTTGCTTTCTTATACAACGAAGTTGGCATTTTTCTACACTGGCAGAAGGCTGTTCCAATTTGGGTAATGAAATATTGAGATTATTCTTGCTGGGTGAGGAAAATGACCAAACAGAGGCAGGTAGCTGTAGAACAGGAGCAGGCAACCTAAGGCCCATGGGCCGGATGTGGCCCAATCGCCTTCTCAATCTGGCCTACGGAATGTTCCAGGAATCAGCATGTTTTTACATGAGTAGAACGTGTCCTTTTATTTAAAATGCATCTCTGGGTTATGTGTGGGGCATAGGAATTCATTCATAATTTTTTCCAATATATATTCTGGCCCACCACATGGTCTGAGGGAAGGTGGACCAGCCCATGGCTGAAAAAGGTTGCTGACCCCTGCTGTAGACCTTTATGAGGTAGTTAGGGTGTGTTGCGCAACCTTGGGCATCTTTAAAGGTGAAAGGTGGAACTGGGCTGGGCTGTGGAACTCGCTGGCTGTGGAACTCGCTGGCATGAGAGCACCTTTGGGGCCAACCTGGAACATCTGCCAGGAGTTGTGGGGCCACAGGAGGAGATTGGGCAGGAAGGCCTCCCTGTTCACCAGAAAGGGTAGGACTTAAGGGAAGGAGAAGAAGAAAAGCCGTAACTTGCCCTCGGCAGGGTTTGTTCATCCACAGTTTGGGTCTGTTACATCCTGCACCTTGGTTCCCTGATCCATATCTGTTTTGAGTTAAGTAACTAAATGTGGCCCAAATTCACCCAGTCTTGGTGTCTCATCTGGTATCTCATTTCCTTGTCACAAACTAGGACAGCAACAGCTGCAAGCAATACATTCATGATTCATCCACTTGTAACCCCTAGCATTGCCTGGCCCTACTCCTTGCTTTCACTCTCCAAGGCAGGCATCCCCAAACTCGGCCCTCCTGATGTTTGGGACTACAATTCCCCTCATCCTTGACCACTGCTCCTGTTAGCTAGGGATGATGGGAGTTGTAGTCCCAAAACATCTGGAGGGCCAAGTTAGGGGGTGCCTGCTCCAAGCTTTTGCTTGCCCTCTCCAAGCATACAGTATAGCAGTGACAGGAAGAGCAAGGAGGAGGAGGCGGAGCTCCTCAGCTGCCTTGATTTCCCCTCTTAGAGCTACTGAAAGAAAGCAAGAGGGTGGGTCCAGAGGAAGATGGCAAGTGCTAAAGTACCATGACACTTAAGCAAAGCAAAGCATTCCATCCCTTTGGTTGGGCCACAAAGCTGGACTTTGCATTTTGCAGCCTTAGATACAACATGTATTTAGTGCCCAGACGCAGTGCATAAACACCATAATCCTGGCTCATGCAAAGAAAAGACAGGTTTTCAGATGAGGAAAGGGGAACCTCAGTTCTTAGAGGGCCAGGACTGTGGAAGATTAGGAAATGAAAGTGGCTGAGCTAGAC